AATACTTTTTCTGCCACCACAGTTTTGATATTCAAATCCTAGTAGTTTTACATTTAAAAATATAATATTGGCCAGGCGCAGTTGCTCATGCCTGTAAGCCCAGCACTTTATGAGACCGAGGCAGGCGAATCACTTGAGGTCAGGAGTTCAAGACCAGCCTGGCCAACATGGTGAGACTCTGTCTCTACTAAAAATACATACAAAAAAATTAGCCAGGTGTGGTGGCAAGTGCCTGTAATCTCAGCTATTTGGGAGGCTGAGGCAGAAGAATCACTTAAACCCCGGAGGCGGAGGTTGCCTTGAGCAGAGATTGCGCCACTGAACTCCAGCCTGGGCAACAGAGTGAGACTTCGCCTCAAAAAAAAAAAAAGTAATACTGTCAATGTGCTAACGTTCTTCCAATTTGTCCAATATTAATCTACCGATGTTTAAGGTTTGTTAATGTTTCAATGCATAAAATTAACTAGGTATTAATCTTTTATTAAAAATACTTTATTGGCCGGGTGTGGTGGCTTATGCCTATAATTCCAGCACTTTGAGAGGCCGAGGCAGGCAGATCACCTAAGGTGGGCAGTTCAAGACCAGCCTGACCAACATGGAGAAACCCCGTCTCTACTAAAAATAAAAAACTAGCCGGGTGTGGTGGCACATGCCTGTAATCCCAGCTACTCAGGAGGCTGAGGCAGGGGAATCGCTTGAACCCAGGAGGCAGAGGTTGTGGTGAGCCGAGATCACACCATTGCACTCCAGCCTGGACAACAAGAGCGAGACTCCATCTCAAAAAAAAAAAAAGAAAAGCTGGGCCTGATGGCTCACACCTCTAATCCAAGCACTTTGGGAGGCCTAGGTGGGCGGATCACAAGGTGGAGAGATAAAGACCATTCTGGCCAACATGGTGAAACCTTGTCTCTACGAAAAATACAAAAATTGGGTCAGGCGTGGTGGCTCACGCCTGTAATCCCAGCACTTTGGGACGCCAAGGTGGGCGGATCACCTGAGGTCAGGAGTTTGAGACCAGCCTGACCAACATAGTGAAAACCTGTCTTTACTAAAAATGCAAAAATTAGCTGGGCGTGGTGGCATGCGCCTGTAATCCCAGCTATTCAGGAGACTGAGGCAGGAGAATCACTTGAACCTGGGTGGCGGAGGTTGCAGTGAGCCGAGATCGCACCACTGACTTCCAGCCTGGGCAACAGAGTGAGACTGCATCTCAAAAAAAAAAAAAAAAAAAATTGTCAAATTATTGACAGAAAAGACATGCTGTAGTTTGGTTGTTTATCCTCCCAAACACCATGTTGAAATTTGACCCTCTGTGTAAAGGCAGGGCCTAATGAGAGGTGTTTAGGTCATAGGGGTGGATCTCTCATGAATGGCTTGGTGCTGTCCTTGTAATACTGAGTAGATTCTTACTCTGTTAGTTCCTTCAGAGCTGGCTTGTTAAAAAGAGCCTGGCAGCTCCTCCCTGCTCTCTCTCCATGTGATCTCTGCACACACAGGCTGCTCTGCACCTTTCACTATGAAGCAGACTGAGGCCTTCACCAGAGGCAGATGTTGGTAACATGCTTCTTGTACAACCTACAGAATTGTGAGCCAAATAAACCTATTTTATTTTATTTATTTATTTATTTTGAGACAGAGTCTCACTCTGTCGCCAGGCTGGGGTGCAGTGGCGCCGTCTCAGCTCACTGCAACCTCCACCTCCCAGGTTCAAGCAATTCTCCTGCCTCAGCCTCCCGAGTAGCTGGGATTACAGGCACCTGCCACCATGCCTGGCTAATTTTTTGTATTTTCAGTAGAGACAGGGTTTCACCATGTTGGCCAGGATGGTCTTGATCTCTGGACCTTGTGATTAGCCCACCTCAGCCTCCCAAAGTGCTGGGATTACTGGCATGAGCCACCACACCCGACCAATAAACCTATTTTCTTTATAAATTATACAACTTCAGGTATTTCTTTTTAGCAACACAAACAGACAAAGGCAAGGTGCTCGAGAAGAGAGCCCTAAAATGATTTACTGGTAGGTTTTAGATTTGAAAAGCAAAACAAAATCATAAAACTATTCATGTATAGGCCAGAATAAAATTGTCAATGGAAGGACATTAAAATTTTGGTTTGGGACCACAATTATGGTGATTTTTCTTTTCTTTTGGTTTTTTTTTTTTTTGAGATGGAGTCTCACTCTGTCGCCCAGGGTGTAGTGTAGTGGCGCGATCTCAGCTCACTGCTGCAACCTCTGCCTCCCAGGTTCCAGCAATTCTCCTTCCTTAGCCTCCCAAGTAGCTGGTACTACAGGCATGCGTCATCACGCCTGGCTAATTTTTTTGTATTTTTAGTAGAGGCGGGATTTCACCATGTTGGCCAGGCTGGTCTCGAACTCCTGACCTCAAGTGATCCGCCCACCTCAGCCTCACAAAGTGCTGGGATTACAGGCGTGAGCCACCGCCCCCGGTGATTTTGCTTTTCTTTCTTTTAGGAATTTTGCTCTTGTTGCCCAGGCTGGAGTGCAATGGAGCAAACGCGGCTCACCACAACCTCCGCCTACTGGGTTCAAGCGATTCTCTTGCCTCAGCCTACCGAGTAGCTGGGATTACAGGCAATCATCACCATGCCTGGGTAATTTTGTATTTTTAGTAGAGACGGGGTTTCTCCGTGTTGGTCAGGCTGGTCTCGAACTCCCAACCTCAGGTGATCCACCCACCTCAGCCTCCCAAAGTGCTGGGATTACAGGCGTGTGCCACTGCGCCTGGCCTGATTTTGCTTTTCAAAAAGAACTTTGAATCTCCCTCAGTCTGCAGAGCACCTTGTAAAATGCATTTCGTCAAAAATGAGGCATTTGGGATGTCTCAAAGAAAAGTGGGGAAGAAATGGAAAAGTGGGCAAAGGAACAGAATAGACATTTAATGACAACAAAAAGAAAATCCACATGATCAAAACAAAATACAAAGAAATGTTCAATAATATGAAACATGCATATTTGTTTTTTGAGATTGAATTTTGCTCTGTCGCCCAGGCTGGAATGCAGTGGCAATATCTTGGCTCACTGCAACCTCCACCTGCTGGTTTCAAGCGATTCTCCTGCCTCAGCCTCCCAAGTAGCTGGGATTACAGGCAACTGCCACCATGCCTGGCTAATTTTTTTTTTTTTTTGAGACGGAGTCTCGCTCTGTTGCCCGGGCTGGAGTCCAGTGGCCGGATCTCAGCTCACTGCAAGCTCCGCCTCCCGGGTTTACGCTATTCTCCTGCCTCAGCCTCCCGAGTAGCTGGGACTACAGGCTAATTTTTTGTATTTTTAGTAGAGACAGGGTTTCACCATGTTGGCCATGCTGATCTTGAACTCACGACCTTAGGTGATCTACCCACCTTGGCCTCCCAAAGTGCTCGGATTATAGGCGTGAGCCACTGTGTCTGGCCTGAACATGCATATTGACAAGGGTTTCTCTAAATTATAAAACCCAGTACCTCATGGGTTTTTCACATGATATTCTGGCAACAATTTCTTTTTTTTTTTTTTTTTTTGAGACGGAGTTTCGCTCATTTCCCAGAGTGGAATGCAATGATGCCATCTCAGCTTACTGCAACCTCCGCCTCCTAGGTTCAAGTGATTCTCCTGACTCAGCCTCCTGAGTAGTTGGGATTTACAGGCATGCGTCACCATGGCTAATTTTGTATTTTTAGTAGAGGTGGGGTTTTTCCATATTGGTCAGGCTGGTCTCAAACTCCCAACCTCAGGTGAGCTGCCCACCTCAGCCTCCCAAAGCAATTTCTTTAAATTATAAAACTTGGCCGGGCGCAGTGGCTCACGCCTGTAATCCCAGCACTTTGGGAGGCCGAGGCGGGTGCATCACAAGGTCAGGAGATCGAGACCATCCTGGCTAAAATGGTGAAACCCTGTCTCTACTAAAGAAATACAAAAAAATTAGCCGGGTGTGGTGGCGGGTGCCTGTAGTCCCAGCTGCTCGGAAGGCTGAGGCAGGAGAATGGTGTGAACCTGGGAGGCGGAGCTTGCAGTGAGCCTAAATCGTTTCACTGCACTCCAGCCTGGGCGACAGAGCCAGACTGCATCTCCAAAAAAAAAAAAAAAACATTATCTCAATGTTTTCTAGAAACCAGCACTCATACATGGTTAGTCGGACTAATTTTAGCTATGAGAATTTATCCTTAGGAAATAATCATATATTTTTGTATAAGTTTGTTTACTGCAGTGTTGTTTATAATGAGTATAAATAACTCAGATGGCAAACAATGTATAAGTTAATAAGTAATATTTTCAAATAATAGATTACAAGTTTAGTTGTGAAAAACAGTCATACCTTAAGTGAATATGGGGAAATGTTTACAATGTATTGTTAAATAAAGATTTCACCTGGGTTCAGTGGCTCACGCTTATAATCCCAGCACTTTGGGAGGCTGGGGCAGGCAGATTGCTTGATCCCAGGAATTCAAGACCAGTCTGGGCAACATGGTGAAACCTTGTCTCTACAAAAATGCAAAAATTAGCCAGGCATGCTAGTGCATGCCTGTATTCCCAGCTACTCGGGATATGGGGAGTCACCTGAGCTTGGGGAGGTCAAGGCTGCGGTACGCTGTTATTGCACCACTGCACTCCAGCATAGGCAACAGAGTAAGACCTTGTCTCAAAACAAAAAGAAAAACAGATTTCAAAACACTAAATAGAAAGTGATCACAATTTTATTTTTTAAGGAAATATGCATAAAATGAACACAAAGGCAATATTAGATTATAACAAAATCTTAAGGATGTTTATCCTTTGGTGATGGGATTATAACATGTTATTTATTTGCTTCTTTGTGTCTTCATTTGGATTTTTAAAACGTCATCATGGTGCCATGACTACGTGGAGAAAAAAAGGCAGACATTCTATAGAGAGAGAGAGCTATTTTAAGCATCTGTGATGAGTGATGGAGCATTTCACACACAACAAGGATAAAAGAGGGAGGGTTTGTCAGATGAAATCATAGAATATTCAACTGGAGGGTGGGTTAGAAATCTTTCAATTTAACTTCCTTTATTTTACATATGAAAAGATTCAAGTTTATCTAAGGCCACACAGGTAATGTTTAGAATCCAGAACAACAATTAGATTTTCTACTTTCCAAGATCTTTAGCTCATCTTTCTTCCTTTCTACTTATGTATAATGCAGGAGCTGGCAGTGGAGCTCTTTTAACTCTGAAAAAAGAGATAGAAAATTGTTAGGATAAAGAGAAAAACTGTATCTTAAATAGCATGTTAAATAGCATGGTGACATGACTTTTCCTTTCTTTTTGGAGACAGGGTCTTGCTCTGTCACTCACACTGGAGTGCAGTGGCATGATCATACCCTACTGTAACCTCAAACTCCTAGGCTCAAGCAATTCTCCCACTTCAGCTTCCTGAGGAGCTAGGACTACAGGAAGACACCACTATGCCCAGCTAATTAAAAAAAAATTTTTGTAGATAAGGGGACTCACTGTTTCCCAGGCTGGTCTTGAACGTGTAACCTCAATCAATCTTCTTGCCTCAGCCTCCTGAAGCACTGGCATTACAGGCGGGAGCCACTCTGCCCCACAGCCTTTTCCTATTTTTGAATTGGCATTTGCCAAAAAAAAAAAAAAAAAAACCCACCATGCACACACTTCATAGTTGTCTTCAGAATAGCACATTTTAAATAAAACCTCTAAATAAAACTTCATAGTGCTGATTTAAATATCCTTTTCTTTCAAACATCATCCATTTTTTCCCACCAGCCTTTTTTCCCAGTGTTAATTTCCCTGAAGACCACAGACTGATGACAAGAAGTAAAAATTGGGCCGGGCGCAGCGGCTCATGCCTGTAAATCCCAACAATTTGGGAGGCCGAGGTTGGTGGATCATGAGGTCAGGAGTTGAGTCCCACCTAACCAACATGGTGAAACCCCATCCCTAAATGTCATTGTCAAAAAATGGTATACACTTTGTGTTAGAAAGCTAACATCATGTACATTTGTGTTCATATATTTAGACATCCAACTATTTTTTTTTTTTTTTAGATGGAGCTTCCCTCTGGTTGCCAAGGCTGGAGTGCAAAGGCGCGATGTTGGCTCACTGCAACCTCTGCCTCCCAGGTTCAAGAGATTCTCCTTCCTCAGCCTCCTGAGTCCTGGGATTACAGGCACACACCACCACACCTGGCTAATTTTTGGATTTATTTAGTAGAGATGGGGTTTCACCATGTTGGTCAGGCTGGTTCTCCAACTCCTGACCTTAAGTGATCCACCTGCCTCAGCCTCCCAAAATGCTGGGATCACAGGTGTGAGCCACCATGCCTGGCCTGTTCAACCAGTATTTATTGAGCTCCTACCATGAGACTGATTCTGTGCTATCCCTGGATATAAAATGGAAATTGAAACAGACCTAAACCCTGACCTTGGAGTTCAGTCTAGTATATAATAGTCTCTACTAAATTATACGTATAAGGCAGGAATCATGTCTTATTCATCAGTATAATGAATATAGTAGGTTTTCTTTGAATATTTGTAGACTAAATGAATGAATTTTGCCGGGCGCGGTGGCTCAAGCCTGTAATCCCAGCACTTTGGGAGGCCGAGACGGGCGGATCACGAGGTCAGGAGATCGAGACCATCCTGGCTAACACGGTGAAACCCCATCTCTACTAAAAATACAAAAAAATTAGCCGGGCGTGGTGGGGGGTGCCTGTGGTCCTAGCTACTCCGGAGGCTGAGGCGGGAGAATGGCGTAAACCGGGGAGGCGGAGCTTGCAGTGGGCTGAGATCTGGCCGCTGCCCTCCAGCCTGGGCAACAGTGCGAGACTCTGTCTCAAAAAAATAATAAAATAAATAAATAAATAAATGAATTTTACCAGGAGTTACCTTGCCATAAACTAAGAAATAGTTATTTTTACTCCAGACATATATGTACTTATGGAAGTTTGAGAAATAATGTGGACTAAGAAGCCCTTATATAGCCTCACTGAACTTTAGCATGCTCCTTCCAAAGCCAACCCATCATTCAAGTAATCCAAAATTCTGTCTAATATTTTGGATTATTTGAATATGAACAGATTCCTGACACAAAACAAAATGTGGCCACCCATTGATAAAGCAAACAGCCTTGGTGCTCAGACACTGCTGCCGTTTAGTTTAGAACAGATTATTGTCATTATTATAATTTTGTTATTTAAAAAGAAAACTCTTGGTGCCTGGGCGCGGTGGCTCATGCCTGTAATCCCAGCACTTTGGGAGGCTGCAGCAGGCGGATCACCAGATCAGGAGTTTGAGACCATCCTGGCTAACACAGAGAAACCCCGTCTATACTAAAAATACAAAAAAGTAGCCGGGTGTGGTGGTGGGCGCCTGTAATCCCAACTAGGCAGGAGGCTGAGGCAGGAGAATGGCATGAACCCGGGAGGCGGAGCTTGCAGTGAGCCGAGATCGCTTCGCTGCACTCCAGCCTCAGCGACAGAGCGAGACTCCGTCTCAAAAAAAAAAAAAAACAAAAAAACAAAAAACGAAGAAAAAAAAGAAAAGAAAGCTCTTTAGCTGAGCACAGTGGCTCATGCCTGTAATCCTAACACTTTGGGAGGCCAAGGCGGATGAATCACTTGAAGTAAGGAGTTAGAGACCAGCCTGGCCAACATGGCAAAACTTCATCTCTACTAAAAATACAAAAATTAGCTGGGCATCGATGTACATGCCTTTAATCCCATCTACTCAGGAGGCTGAGGCAAGAAAATCGCCTGAACTGGTGAGGCAGTTGCAGTGAGATCGCACCACTGCACTCCAACCTGGGTGACAGAGCAAGACTCTCTCTCTCAAAAAAAAAAAAAAAGAAAACTCTGACATTTATTTTCCAATGGTTTTCATTACCATTGAGATAATTTGATAAGTATTGGGATAATTTGGGGAAGTAATCTGAGAGATTATATGACCCAGCACTTTTGGAAGCAAGTAACAGATTTCTACACAAATACATAACAGAAATCTCTAAAGTAACACATTTTGAAATGAGGAACTGCATCAGGAACTTTTAAAGTTTTAGAGACTAGTCAGTATGCAACCGTATCTTTTCATTTGCTGACATCTCAGTGAAATCAGAATCTGTGCTATTAAATCAAAGAAGCAAAAACCTATAAGGACTTTCCTCTATCTCCCCTGTAAATAATAGATTTTTTTTTTTTTTGAGACAGAGTTTTGTTCTTGTTGCCCAAGCTGGAGTGCAATGGCACGATCTCAGCTCACTACAACCTCCGCCTCCCGGGTTCAAGCAATTCTTCCAAAGTGGTGGGATTACAGGCGTGAGCCACCATGCCCAGTCATAAATAATTGATTTTTCCTACTTTAATTTACCTGGGGGAGTAAACACAATATGAAACGACAAAAACTTGACCCTCCCTAAATCTGATCTACCTAATAAAATGCTGGCCAGCTGCAGTGCCTCGTGCCTGTAATCCTGGCACTTTGAGAGGCCAAGGCAGGCGGATCACTTGAGGCCAGGCCAGGAGTTCGAGACCAGCCTGGCCAACATGGCGAAACCCTGTCTCTGCTAAAAATACAAAAATTGAGAGGGATAGCATTAAGAGAAATACCTAATGTAAATGATGGGTTAATGGGTGCAGCACGCCAACATGGCACATGTATACATGTGTAACCTGCACGTTGCGCACATGTACCCTAGAACTTAAAGTATAATAATAATAAAAAAGAAATCTCACATATCAGAATATGTTACATTATTTACAGATACTAAGATTTCCTTTAATGGATTTTTGAAGTCATATTTATAAAAAGTTCTTATATTAACCACGGAGGAGATGAGTAATTAAGGTACAAAAAGACATTTTTTTCTGAGTCAGCAATACTTGTCCTTAAATTTCCCATTGGAGGGCAAACCTGATTTGAAATTTGACTCCTTTTTGTCTCTTTGGATTGTTCCCACCTGAACAGAACATTACAGCATTTACTGCAGGGCCAAATGAAAGACAGAAGTCAGAGAGTAACTCCTGGAAAATGGAATAAATTGTTCCTGAAGGTTAAAAAAAAAAAATACAAAAATTAACCAGGCATGTGGCCCACGTCTGTAATCCCAGCTACTCTTGGGAGACTGAGGCAGGAGAATCACTTGAACTCAGGAGGCAGAGGTTACAGTCAGCTGAGATGGTGCCACTGTACTCCAGCCTGGGTGACAGAGTGAGACTCTGTCTCAAAAAAATAAAGAAAAAAAAAAAAGTGGTGCTTACCTAGGACCTCCAAAAGTTAGCCTCTGTTGTGTCTTCCAAAGATAAGAGAGTAGATTGTCCTCTGGGCTGATATAAATGGGGAAGAGAGTACTGTATGTGACCTTGCGTTCTGACATGATTCTGGCATCTGTACAGAATCTTTTTGGTAGCATGTGCTTTGTCACTTTCTAGCAAGCAGGGAGACTAGGCAGGCACCTAGGACCTAAGAGTCAACCAGTCCACAAGTTTCCAAACCATGAGGGTAGGAGAAAGGGGTCCCAATATTCTCAGCATTTGGGTAGTTACTACTCTGAGATGGGTTTTAAGGCCAGTTAATAAAAAGGCACCATGCCACTGGAAGAGATATGTGAGCTTGGATCTCAAAAGGGTATGTACTCTGAAGCTGAAATCATAAACCAGAGCATCTGATGTGTGTCTCATACACAATGAGGGAGGAAGGACTGCTGACGGAAATGTCACACGCAGCTGCTTTTAGCACTTGGCTCTCACTGATGAAGCTTCCCTCTCTGCCACTACACACCACCCTCTTCCTACGTGAGAGACCTTTAGGGCTCTTTAGTTCTCATCCTGAAAGCTGTGAGACAGATTATAAATTGATATCTATTATATCAGTGTAGTTTGTGCTTGGTTGATGTGCCTGATGGGCTATAGGAGTGATTGACTCAGCTACTCTTTTGGTGAGGAAAGAGTCTTCCTTAGAAAGAGAATTGTACGCCTTGCCCTGAAAAGGTTAGGAATGCGGCCTATGGTCCTAATTAAGTGCCCTGTTAAACAGTGTCCCTTGAACAAGTCACTTTCTTCTTCTCCAACTTCTCCAGCTATATAATTAAGCATGTAATCCTTCATAGTAGGGTTGTGAGGATAGGCTATTCCCACCATCTAGAGTTCTCTTCCCCTCACTTTCTCATTGCCAAATAAATCCTCCTTATCCTTTGGAGTTAAGTTGAAACATCAAT